CCAGCCCCCCGGTAAGTGTGGTACCCGCGTACGAGCCCGCCAAAATTTTTTCGGGTAAGTTCATAAATCGAGGATATGAGAAGCTGGAAGGCTGAAATCTTGGGGTAATTTTCCCCGTCCAACTCGGCATTAGTGGGCTCAAACCCAGCCCCCAGGTAAGCGTGGTATCCGAGTACGAGCCCGCCAAAGTTTTTTTCTGGTAAATTGATAAATTAATTACCTGAGAAGCTAAAGGAGTGTAATTTTAAGAGGATATGCCCTGTCCACCTAAGTTTCATTCAGCTCGAACCCAGCTCTCACGTATGCTTGGTAAACATGCACGGGCCCATGAAAATTTTGTTCCAGTAAGTTGCTAACTCAGGGGCAACGGGAGCTTGATTTGGATGGGTTCTCAAATACGCATCTCGGAAAGGGAAAGTTGAAAAAAAAACTGAAGTTTCATTAAAGTCGAATATTCTGAGGGTTCTTCGAGCTGTGTGTGTTGCAGCAACGATTGCTAGCAATAGCAGTGGACGAACGGGTCCTCAGTGACGCTGTGCCAGTGAACACACACTGTATAAAGAAGGCATCAGCCCTGCGAGCAACTTAAATAACAGGAATTTGAATTGGATTGTTGAAGGAAGTTCAAAAGATCCCCTCAAAGAGGTCAGTCACAGACGATCAGGCGCACCACAATCTCGGGTCGAACGTGGATGACAGAGAGGGCAACTCGATGTCCACGTGAACAAGCCAATACGTGTGCTTGAAAAAACACCGACATGCCAGTTCCTCATCCTCATCAGAGACGAAGCTGAGCCATCCGCTCAGCTCCGTTATTTGTTGCTGGAATGCGCTTGTTATTGTTGATTGGGAGTCGTCCCCATCAACAAGGAATCCCGCCACTTTTACAGAATAAAGCCTGCACCTCATCCTCAGGTCTGCACCTCACCCTCGGTTCACTGCACGCAGACAATCAGAAATTTGTATAGAGCATGTACAGATGAAAATCAACAGAGACATAGAACGCGAGGTACCAGTGCGGTATATTGTTGGTATATATTATAGACATAAAATAGATACATTATACCGAATGGTCCGCTGTTCCAGATGGTTGTTGACCAGAACGTATACAGATGCTATATTTTATGTGTGGATCTTCTGTACAATATACCAATAACATAGTCTCATTATAACTTCAGCGCATGCGCTGTGTATAATATACCAGCAACATAGATGTATTACACGAGGAAAATTATGATAACCGGTGCTTTCGTGATTCTGTGGGTATACAGTATTATTTACGTTCTGTTGCGTCATCTGTATAAGATGCCGACAACTTAACGACAACATCGCTTCTGTATAGCCACTGTGTATATTATAGCAGCTACATAGCCACAGTATATGTATATGGAATATTGTATGCAGCTAAGGGATGAAACAAAGAATGCGCCATAAAATGTCTTCATACACACGGCATCCAA